GGGACTTCGAAGCATGTCTTGAGATTTATGCAAGACCATCAATTTGGTCTGAGACTATTCTTCTTTGGTGTGCTTGTACTTCTTCCATCTTCCTGTGATTTAGTCCTCCTGTGATCTACTAGTGATGGTTATTGACTCTGTGGATTTGATTGTGAGCAGAGAACTTGGCTGAAGGAAAAGCAAAATCCAGATTTCTTCCCTACAGGAAGACTGTCATTCATAAACACTATTGAGGGCAAGACGAGAAAATGTGGCAGGTTTGGGGGTAGCAATCTCTGAGATACAGGCTATTTTTCTCATGCCTTTGGTAGCCAGAGTTCCTCTAACACGGCCAGTTTTCAGTTGCCTATTGATACTTTTGAAAAAAATACTTTTGTTTGTGGCTGTGTAAGTTACTGGGATGGTGAGACAGTCCTAGTCTTATTTGTTTTGAATTAAAAATCCACCCTGTAGACTAACGAGAACCCACCTGGCACTGAACAGTGTCCAGTAGACATTGGTCTTAATGTAACATTCACAATGTATTCTCCCAGGACAATCTCTGCTTTGTTTTTCTTTCCTGTGTGCTGCCCAGGAATCCCAAAGGCATCTCTGGGGAGAATTTTCAATGGGAGAATTGTTTATTCAGCCACGTAGTTCAGTTCACCAACTGGATGTGTTTTTTCCTTTGCAGAGTATGCCTTGATCCACTCTGAGAGCCTCAGAAGCCAAATGAGCATTGCTTGGGTGTGAACTTCTCTGCCTGTTTCCCAGGTAGCTTTCAGGCCCAAAACTTTGCAACATATTTTGGTTGCTCCTGCCATGAGAGTAATTTCTTCATGCTGGAGTTTTTAAGAATGCTGATTTATGTCATACTAGCATCAGCGTGCTGACATTGCTCCACCATTTTGCATTACTTATTCATGCATTTAAGCATGTGACCTGCATTGAAAAGATCAGTGAGAACTATTAAATGCTAACTGCTGGACTCTATGAGGAATTATACTTTTGTTTTCAGACCTGGATACACACAGGAACCTTACTTCCTTGCTCAGAAGCACCCTTGCCTTTACAGAAAATACCATACCTGAAGCCTGACAAGTCTGGCCTTTTTGAATGTATTTTCAAGGAACAAGTGTTAAGTAAAATACCTGCTGGCTAAAAAAAATAAGGTAGCCCTGCCCAAAGTACTGATATGGCCTATTCTGTAAGAGTTCCTGCATGCACTTGTAAGAGCAGGTTTTAGATTGTAAGCCCTCCAATTTTTTCTCCTGTGTCTTAAGTCTGCAATGACAAAAGCCCCTTTAAGTGCATAACAAAGATTCCAGGCAAAAATACATAAATGTACTAAAAATCGAAAAATATTTGCTTGCCAGAAATCTCAAACTCTATGAAATAGGTTTTGACTCTAAAATTGAGACAACAGTATTCAAATAAAATTAAATGGGGTAACCCAAGATTGAAATTGTAATACCAGAATTAACAGGAAAGAAAAGTAATAAACAAATTACTAAAACATAATTTTGAGGTAAATATGTTAATGTAAAATAAGTTTGCATACTCATTTGAAAGATGTAATTTTGAGAGAGAATAACCAGTTTAAAATTAATATAATTTATTAACAATTAAAAATTATAACACAAGCGGAGGGAGGTTGGAGGTGAAATATTGGGTTTCCTTTGATAGGTAGAGTAATTATGAAGTATGCTTTTGAAGTTCAAGAAGACAGCCTTAGGACACAACATTTTTTAAAGTAAAAATTGGCTTGCACTCTGTTCAAGTGATTTATTTTGCACTAAGAAATGGGTGTGAGACATGATGTGATTTAAAATGTCATCCCTTGATGGAACTGCTTGAGGGTGACATAATTTTTTTTTCTTTTTTCTCTTTTTATTTATATATTTGGCTGCTTGATTTCTGAAGTTTTCTATCTTAGAGAATCTACTGAAATTATATAGAAATTAAAAAAAAACCCAAATCAGCAATACCTTCATACTCCCCCAAATAAAACTTTCCCCTGAAGTTGAGGAAGCTAAAAGCTAGGATCTGGAGGGAGCCACTGGGAAGAAATACATATTTCAGTTGCATCTGTGTCATCCATGTTGCTTACCTGGTGGCCGACTTTGAGGAATACCACTTGTACATGCCACCAAATAAACACATGTAAAATTGTTGCTTGTCTTCAAAACCAGGCAGTCCCACACATCCCTGGACAGGGAGGACTACTCCTCTTTACGTGCCTTTTTGCAGGAATACTTCTTCTAGAAGCTGGGAATGACTTTACAGTTTTTTTTATGAGCTACACATTATGTGTTTACTCTGTGGATGAAGCGCTCTACTCTGTGGATGAAGCACTCTATAGACAGGAACAGCTTCACTCTTGCAGGCCCTTGTTGTCATGAGAGACTTCAAGCATCTTGATATCTGTTGGAGGGACAGTACAGCTTGGCACAAGCAATCCAGGAGGTTCCTCAGTTTTGTGGAAGACAACTTCCTTCTGCAAGTAATAGAGGAACTGAGAGGAGAGGCGCCATGCTTGACCTCGTGCTCACCAACAGGGAAGGGCTCGTTGGAAATGTGATGCTCCAGGGCAGCCCTGGATACAGTGATCATGAGATGGTCGAATTAGAGATCTTCAGGACAGTGAGAAGAGCGTGCAGCAAGCTCACTGTCCTGGACTTGAAAAGAGCAGACTTTGGACTCTTCAGGAACCTGCTTAGTAAGGTTCCATGGGATATAGCCCTAAAGGGCAGGGGGGCCAAAGACTCTTGGCTGATCTTCAAGGATCACCTGCTACAGGCTCAGGAGTTTTGCATCCCAACCAGAAGGAAGTGCAGCAGGAGGGCCAGGAGACCCCCTTGGATGGAGAAGGAGCTGCTGAGAAAAATTCAAAGGAAAAAAGAGGCTTATAAATGGTGGTAGCAAGGACAGACGGCCTGGGAAGAGTACAGGGATGTTGTCCGGGAAGCTAGGGACCAGTTTAGGAAAGCTAAGGCCCAGTTAGAATTAAACTTGGCTAGGGATATTAAGGATAACAGGAAGGGATTCCACAAGTACATAGCAAATAAAAAACAGACTAGGGAGAACACAGGCCCCCTCAGGAAGCTCTCGGGAGAACTAGCTACACAGGATTTGGAGAAGGCTGAGGTTCTGAATGACTTCTTTGCCTCACTCTTCACTGGCAAAGGCTCTGACCTCACCACGCAAGTCTTGGAAGGCAGACACAGGAACTGTGAGAATGAAGACCTTGGGCTCACTGTAGGAGAGGATCTGGTTTGAGACCATCTTAAGAACCTGAACGTGCAAAAGTCCATAGGTCCTGATGGAACCCATCCGTGGGTCCTGAAAGAGCTGGCGAATGAAGTTGCTAAGACACTGTTGATCATATTTGAAAAATCATGGCAGTCAGGTGAAGTTCCCAGTGACTGGAAAAAGGGAAATATAACCCCCATTTTCAAGAAAGGGAAAATGGATGACCCAGGGAATTACAGACCAGTCAGTCTCACCTCTGTGCCTGGCAAAATCTTGGAGCAGATTCTCCTGGAAGGCATGCTAAGGCACATGAAAATCAACAAGGTGCTTGGTGACAGCCAGCATGGCTTCACTAAGGGCAAATCCTGCCTCACCAATTTGGTGGCCTCCTATGATGGGGCTACAGAACTGATGGACAGGGGTAGATCAGTTGGTGTCATCTACCTGGACATGTGTAAAGCGTTCAACACTGTCCCACAGGACATCATTGTCTCTAAATTGGAGAGACATCAATTTGATGGATGGACCACTCGGTGGATAAAGAACTGTCTGAATGGCCGCACACAAAGAGTTGTGGTCAATGGCTCAATGTCCAATTGGAGACCAGTAACGAATGGTGTCCCTCAGGGATCGGTGTTGGGACCGGTCTTGTTCAACATCTTTGTTGGTGACATGGACAGTGGGATTGAGTGCGCCCTCAGCAAGTTTGCCGATGACACCAAGCTGTGTGATTCGGTTGATACGCTGGAGGGAAGGAATGCCACCCAGAGGGACCTTGACACACTTGTGAGGTGGGCTGATGCCAACCTCATGAAGGCACAGCTACAGGCTGGGCAGAGAAGAGATTCAGAGCAGCCCTGCGGAGAAGGACTTGGGGGTGTTGGTCGATGAGTAACTGAATATGAGCTGGCTTCAGTGTGCACTCGCAGCCCAGAAAGCCAAATGTATCCTGGGCTGCATCAAAAGGAGCGTGACCAGCAGGTTGAAGGAGGTGATCCTGCACTTCTACTCTGCTCTTGTGAGACCTCACCTGGAGTATTGTGTGCAGTTCTGGTGTCCTCAACATAAAAAGGACATGGATCTGTTGGAACAAGTCCAGAGGAGGGCCACGAGAATGATCTGGGGACTGGAGCACCTCCCATATGAAGATCGGCTAAGAAAGTTGGGGCTGTTCAGCCTGGAGAAGAGAAGGCTGCGTGGAGACCTCATAGCAGCCTTCCAGTATCTGACGGGGGCCTATAGGGATGCTGGGGAGGGAATCGAATCTTCATTAGGGACTGTAGTGGTAGGACAAGGGGTACTGGGTTAAAACTTAAACAGGGGAAGTTTAGACTGGATATAAGGAGGAAATTCTTTCCTGTTAGGGTGGTGAGGCACTGGAATGGGTTGCCCACAGAAGTTGTGAATGTTCCATCCCTGGCGGTGTTCAACGCCAGGTTGGACAGAGTGACATGGTTTAGTATGAGGTGTCCCTGGCCATGGCGAGGGGTTAGAACTAGATGATCTTAAGGTCCTTTCCAACCCTAACTATTCTATGATTCTATTTGATATATGTGGTAGCTAGTTAACATAATGAGTTTTTTGATCTGTTTGCTTGCAGTGGGCTTTACTGGCTTTTGTGGCAATAGGCCCAGAAGACAGCAGTAGTGCTATGGCCAAAATACACACTTGCTTACCTTTGCAGAGTCATGTTTTTTAAAGATTTCACTTAACCTCAGTGGCATTTTCATATGCCTAGTGATTTTTATCATAAATCTCACAACTTTTGTTGAAAGCCCTAGTTGTTGGAGGGAAGAAATTTCTGTGAGATCTCATAGATTTGATTTCAGGGTGAATCTCATGATGTTTTATGTACTGCTAGCTGCATAGGTCTTGTGGCACAAGCATCTGGACACACAGTAGCTCGGCTGGGAAGCTGTAGGTGCGATCCACCTGTGGTTGCTACATATGAAAATTCCAGCCAAATTATGTTAAAAAAAAAAAAAAAAAAGAAAGAAAACCACGAACTCTTTAAGTTTCTTACATATGTGCTTTGGAAAGCCGTGAGAAGTGGATGTTCTCTCTGAGCTCCACCAGCAACTGAAAACAAGGGGAATCTATTTCACCATCAGCATGAATAAATTATAACCAAATACACATGGGGCACGTATCTGTCACATAAGAGAAGCCACTTTTTTTCCTTGTCACTTTTCAAATAAAATTGCCATCTAATCTAAAATACAGCATTCTGGCGGAAAGTCTGTAAATTCTCTTTGTACAAGGAGATGTAGCAAAGTTTGTAGCCCAACTTGTTATAAAAACACAGAAGTTAAAAATAACTGTAGAGTTAGGGAGCGGAATCCAGCTCTAAATGGGTGGCCCAGTTTGCTCTCACATTCAAGTATTATAAACAGAAAGCAACCCTTTTGTTTTCAGGCTGCTGCTGATAGCTTTTTGTCTTGCCATGGGGAAATGTTGGCACTCCCCTATCATCTGACAACTCTCAACTATTTTTGTTTGCAAGAGGTGTGTGTCAATGAAATACCAGTATCATTTTGACTGCAAGCAGCACATCACTGTGAAGGTGTTTTTTCTGTGGAAGAGAGAGTAGCATTTTTTGTTGCAGAAGATTGGAAAGATTTCTGCAGGAACTTTGCAAGGAGCTCACTACACTTTTATTCAGGGCCTTCCACAGGACTTGTTGAGGCTCTGGCCAGTGGACAGAATTGCTGCTGGGAGATAGATTAACTCCTGATCCCACTTTGACAGGCATGAGGGCTGCATGAATTACATTGCCTAGTGTTTAGGGTGGAGCAGTTCTGGAAGATTCATCCCAGCTGTGTCTCACACCAGGTGGCAAAACAAACTCTAAAGGGCTGAGGGGCTGTAGATTCCTTTTTTTTCCTGCTGTGCTGTGCATGGGGGCTGCAGTTTGTAATTGCTGCTCTCCTTGTTGTGCTGTGGAGAAGGTTGAGGCTCTGAAGGAGGAGGGTAAGAGGTATCTAAGTTGGTGTAAGTCTGCTATAACTGGATGCATTTAGATATAATGAAGAAGTTTACTGTGAGGGTGGTGAGGCACTGGAATGGGTTGCCCAGGGAAGTTGTGAATGCTCCATCCCTGGCACTGTTCAAGGCCAGGCTGGACAGAGCCTTGGGTGACATGGTTTAGTGCGAGGCATCCCTGCCCATGGCAGGGCGGTTGGAACTAGGCGATTTTAAGGCCCTTTCCAACCCTAACTATTCTACGATTCTAAATGCTTGGTCAAAGAACTGAGGCAAGCTCATCACATTTTCTGACTTGTGCTAATCCTCAGCCTTTCTAGAGCCTGTGCTGTTTTACTTTGCAGGCCTTGTATATGTGTATTAAATATGGCACAGGGATGTCTACATATCAGTGAAATTGGAGCATAATATTTATTGACCTCAAAGGGTTTTCCTTGAGATAATTTTTTCTTTTGTTTTTAACTGTAAGCCTTTTGAGATTGGGTTCTTGTCTTTTGTGACTGTTTGGTGGCAGGCAGAGATGTTGTCGGAGACAGACTGTAGAAAGTGCTTTAAAATCACCGAATGTGCGGGCTAAAGAATGAAAAGGTATTCCTTTATTTTAGTTGTTTAAAATGTTGTCAGTCCAAGGAAAGCTGCAGTCATGCTCTCCATTGCTAACTCATGTTTTAATGTGTGGCCTTATGAGATCAACAATATATGCTGTTTTCCTATAGCTGATACTCCTTATAGTTTATACTCCTCTGATGCAATCTGAGGGGTAAAGCCTACGTAAGTATCTGTTGCCCAAGATACATTTGATGCTATTGTACCCTATGGTGTTCTACTGCTGAATGAGCTCTTTTGTAGATGCTTGGAAAGCTGTTGTGAAGCTGGGAAACACATGGCTAATACATAAAAACTTATATATGTAAAGCAATGTGCAAATGACACCTACTAACTGGAAATTGCTACAGATAAGAGATCTGGCAGCTGAATCACAAAGTATTATTCATAGGAAATACTTACACTGACTTAATAGCCTAGAAATGGCTTTACCCCTCAAACAACCTTCAGAAGTATCAACTAATTTGAAAGAGTGGGCTGCTGTTAAAATAATAATGAGCCTTGTCCTTTTTTTCCTTGGTATCCTCAAGGCTTTCTGTGGTGGTTTTGGTGTCTTTTTTTTTCTTTTTTCTTTTTTTAATTCATAAAGCACTTGATAAATTCTTATCTTAAACATAAGCTTAAATCCCTCTGGGTTTAGAATAGCATTTCAGCATGTGCTTAAAGCTCAGCACATGGTTGTCCATGACCTGCACCCTCCTCCACCAGCAATGGGCAACCACGGGTTCTCTCTTGGCTAGCGAGATGTTGAAGCAAGGGTGGTAACCCTGCTCTTGCGCTGCTTCTTCATAAATAAGCACTTGAGTGTGAGTGTGATGGTTTGCATTGTGAGGGAGAGATGGAATGCCTGTTGCTGTGTAGCGGGCAGTTTCGGCACGTTGTGACCCTGAGCTTGCATGGGTGAGGCTGCCAGTGGAGGAGGAAGCTGAAGTGCATCATGACCCAGGGAGTTTTCTTGGCTCTCTCTTCCTCAGTACCTAATTGGATGAGCACCTACATAAACATTGTTTGTCATCCTTATCTGTCTCAATTTTCCGCATTTTGATGGTGAGCTATGCTTGGGCCACCACACCAGCCCCAGCAGGGTGGTGGGTGGCACATGAGGTTGGGGGGCCTCTATGTTGGCATTGCTGTTACCCTTCACTTGTGGGTCCCCTGCTTTGGTGGGGCTGGGTGCCCACACCACCTGTGTGGTCAGTAACTACATTTCCCTGGTGTTGAGGGTACTGCTCTGTTTTGCCTGCTGTGAGGGTTTAAAAGAACTTTCTTACTACTTGTAAACTAGTGAGACTGCTGTGTGTGGCTGAGGGCTTGCAATAAGAGAACCTTAAATACTGTTACTATACCTGATGCTGTAACAATTTCAGCTGCTTAGGCAAAAAATATACAGGAAAGTTCTCTAGTCATTCCCCAGGGGGGAGTGGGCCTATTAAAGTGGATGACTAAGAACCTGATATATTGCTGGCATAAGCCATTTACATATCTAGCTAATGAGAATTTACTTGTTTTAATTTCAGTGAAGTTTTTGCTGCTTCACAACCTTGATGTCTTGCTTTGCAGTTCAGGGACCCCTGGCCATGCAGTGCAAAGGAGTTTCTTCTTTCTGTTCAAGCTAAAAGGATGCTCTAGAAATTAGGGTGGTGATCCAGAACATGGCAGGTTGCTGTTCACTATTTTGCTCCTTCACTGACTGCCAGTGTGATACGGGCTTAGCCTTCCGGTACCTCATCTCATCTGTTGAAAAGCAGACATAGTGAGGACACAGCTTCTTAGGCTGAAAACTTCATTATAACTTTTTTACTTCATTATTTGTTGAAGGATACTGTTGAATCTTAAAGAAGAAAATAACCCATACTGTAGCTGTCAAAAGTAGGACAACTCCATGTATGCATAGCCCAGCTGCTGAGCTCTTGGCTCAGCTTCTTTCTAAGAGAACTGCAAAGCCACATGGTGTCTCTGGGTACTGGATTTTGTACTTGGACCTCTGTATTAAAACTCATACAGAGCGACAGCTCCCTATTGGATATACATCTGAAGAGCCGCAAGAGTGCAAGTCATTCCAGCGAGGGTCTGGTATAAATTACATTCAGTAAATTGGCTCCAGATAACTCTATTTTGGATTGTGGAATATGAACTTGTGTGGTGTACTAAAGCCTCCCGTTTCTTGCCCTGTATGCTTGCAGGGAGCTACCATTGCAGTCATAGAAATACAGATCTAGAGGCTGGCAGGTTTTGGATGGCAAAATCCTGCTAGATCACATTTTGCACAAAGCTATTAGCCTCCTGGGCATATGATTTAACAACTGGGAGACATGCAGTGGGATCTGAGAGCTGTATCAGATGCTTCATTTAGGTATAGCAAGTTGTCTTTAAGTGGCAGCATGCCTCTTGATTTTGATATATGCAGCCTGAGACTATGGAAGAGGTAGATACGATAGAGTTGTTTAAACCTCAAAACATGTTTTAAATAATTGATTTCCATGCATCTAAAGTAAAGATCAGTTATTCAAAACACATTTATATTTGCAAAAAACCTCAGTATGACAAAATAAATACTTGTAAATAATTTAAAACATATTTGGAAAACACATTTGGAGGCTTTTAATGTTGCAAAATATGTCTCTAACAGTGGTAAACCCTCAATAAAGATGATTTAATAATTCTTTGTATATTTAATACATAAATGTGCTGCTTGTAGAAAAATTATTTAAAAGTTTGGCAATGGAGGGATGAGTTCATAAAGCCAGCTTCTAAGTTTAGACCTGTTTTGTGAAAGGCATGTGCAGTTAGAAGTATATGAGAAGAAACTGGTCTTTATATTAAGAGTCCCTAATTGTTAATTCAGTGCAGGTGTAAAACAGTGCTTCATAATCTGATAAAGCTGTGTTGTGGAGGTTCAGACTTGACAATAAGAAGTATTTCTTTACAGAGGGTGATCAGAAACTGCAACAAACTTCCTAGAGAGGTGGGTGATGCCCCAAGCCTGTTGGTGTTTAAGGACCATTTGGACAATGCTTGTAATAATGTGTTTGAACTTTTGGTCAGCTCTGAAGTGTTCAGGCAATTGAATGATTCTTGTCCCTTCCAGCTGGACTGTTCTAGGTCAGGTGAGCAATGTTTGGTGAGGCTTTCCAGGCTATTAAGACCAAGAAGTGCAAAGTAAATTTTAAAATGGATGGAGGTATCTAAAGGAGAATTTCTCTAAACTGAGGTTTTGATTGGTTACTCTATAACCCAATAATGTTCTGTACCTCTGCAGAAAGCTGAGATGTACTTTCGAGGCTATATCAGCATGTAAAAGGTAGAGAGAAATACTGCTAAGTTTGGTCATTCATTTGAAGAAGGACTGGGACACCTCTTAGGAGACGAAATGAATGTGGGGCTTCTCCAGCTCTACCCTTCCCAGAAGCTGGGCAGCTACCCCAGTCCCTATGGCTACTTCTGTTCTCTACCCTGGCAGCAGTGTATGCCATGGTCCTGCTGTCAGGGAGTTTTAGTTCCATGCCTGTATTTTACCTCCTGATGTAAACAATGGGTGAGTTGTAACTCTTGCTTTATGAAAAGAGGCAGGCTGGCTACCCTTCCTTGGGCAGAGTTTCTGCTGGTTTCACTGGGTGCTTCCTTGGAGCAAGGACAGCAGAGCATGCACCAAAAGAGCACTTAGAGACTAAACATTTGATGTCACTTCAGTCTCACTTGTAATGTGATTAAGCTGCCTGCCTGTAAAATGCTCCCTTCCTGTAGTAAAACAGCTGTTACTCAAAATCCAGTTCAGATATTGAAGTTTCCTTCCTATAGTGAGATCAACCCTGACGAAGGTAAATATAGATGGGCATAGTAGTTTTGCAAGGTAGATTTTGAGCTGGTTTTGATTATATGCCTGTTATATACTACCATAATGCAATTGGTTTCCTTGAAAATAGTTGCTGGTTGCAGTGATTTGAAGGGTTTGTCTACATGAAGTATGTTTAACTGAATTAAGGTGTGAATGCAAATCACATTACCTTTCCTTAGGCACTGGAATGGGATCCCCACAGAAGTTGTGAATGCTCCATCACTGGAGGTGTTCAAGGCCAGGCTGGATGGAGTCTTGGGTGACATGATTTAGTGCAAGGTGTCCCTGCCCATGGCATGAGGGTTGGAACTAGATGATCTTAAGGTCCTTTCCAACCCTAACTATTCTATGATTCTTAAGTCTGTATGGGAGTAGTCTTGCACTGAGTACCTTCAGAGTTTGGGCTAATCCACATCAAAAGTTAATTAGCATCTTAATCTGTTCTGTGCAACTTTCTCCATGGTCAGCAGGCTAAATCAATATTGGTCCCAATACCTGTAAGCTCACAAATTGCCTGCCTGTCTTTATTCATTCCCATTATATAGCAGTGTGAT